TCTTGAGCACAACTCAGCTCCTGATAGAGTGGCCATCTGCCTGCTGCTGATAGAGCAGAGGATAGATACAGCATTCCCAAGAGATGACGGCCCCTTTCTCCAGGAAGTAGTCACTGAACAAGGTTTCCAGTGAAACCTTTCTTAAAACCCTGTGACTCTACCATGGTCTAAACCTGTTCTCCTCTCTTCTCTGGAGGATCCAACAATTCTCTCCTGGGCTTTTTCCAGTGGCCAAACATATTGCGAATAGTGCTCTTAGTTCTATATAGATCAGGATTTCGCTTCCATGTTGCCCCACTTTATTTCCTTAATTGTCTGGGTGCAGTAACACTCATGCAATGCCATAAAACTGATCTCTATGGTTAATTTGTCTACCACGATATAGATATGTAAAAACAGATATTTAAAAGGCTTAAAACCATTTCAAGTAGCTGATTAGGTGAAAGAGTTTTTCATTTAAATGGGAGCTAATGGAAAAGCTTTATGTGTCCCCTTTAAATTCTTTTACTAAAATTTGGTCATGCTTTCATTGCCTTAAACAGGTGATTAATCTTTACATTATAAAGCATTCCTTCCATGCCTTGTCTCCATTAGGGTTGCTTCATCTTTTCCTTGGTCAAATATAAACCATTGACCTACAACAAGTCCTACGAGTATCCTGACTGGTCCATCGGCATTGGCTGGACCTTGGCCCTCTCCTCCATGATCTGTATCCCCATGGTGGTGGTCATCAAGATCATTCAGTCTGACGGCCCACTGATAGAGGTAAGAACACTTCAGGCATTTGTGTTGCTGGACATGAAGTAGACCTGTATACAAATTTATCCTACCTATGCTCTTAGTGCTTGATTGACATAGACTATTAAACCGAATTAATGTGGACTTTTACAGTCATACCACTTTATAATAACAAAACCTGCATAGACATGGCCTTCCAGGACATGGAGTGGAGAGTTCTCCTCTGAAGTAGTTCAACCAATTCAACCAAAGGTCTTCCATTAATTAATGAACAGGATTAATGGCTCAGCTATCAACTCTTAACTGTACAATTCCTCTCCTTCCTATGGCTCTTCTATTCTCTTGCCCTCCACCTGTCCCATCTCGACTTCAGCGGATCAAGGCGGTCGCTGCTCCGGTGAGGGGAGGCGCTAGCTCACGGCCAGTGGACCACCATCCCAAGGTCAGCGAGCTGACACATCCCCTGGATCCCAACGGGAACAACGGCTTGATAAAGCCCACCCACACTATTGTAGAAACGATGATGTGAGCGCTCTCTATGAGAGGATCGAAAATAATTAGCTTTCCATGTTATATATTCGCTAACTTTTAAAATAGTTGTAGGACCAGGTTTACACGTATCTGCACTAGGTGTTTTCTACAGAGGAAGTTACGTGTTTTTTTTTCTTTGTTTGTACTATTTTTAAGATTCATTATTATTGATATTATTACTATCATTATCATTACTACTGCGGTAGCTAGAGGAGGGTTGACCTGGCACATGACGAAGGAACTGAAAATAGGCATTTCTGTTTTTAAGTCCTTTTTTTGCAGGTAAGGAGTACGTAGTCTGTTTTAAAAACTTTGGGGAGGGAATCGGGGCCACATTTGCAAATGTAAAGATGCACTGAATTTTATGGCGACATTATGGCATTTTGGAGTATAAGGAAAATCGGACTCCCCCTCTAGATTTAAATTTTATTTTTATATTGTTGTGAGGGTGACATTCTGTGGTAAGGTTACGGCTGTCATTGTTGTTGTGTTTTTGGGCATTATATAGATCTGCAAGGCCCAAAACCATACTGAGTCTACAGATATATTGAAGACCCATCGAGTCTGTACAGACTGGCCTGTCGCGGTCCTGGTCTTGGCAGTCCTCTGCAAATGTTGGTTGTTTGTTAAATATGGGTTCTCATACACCTTGACAGCTTTGCTGCAATGAAAACAAAAAGGTTTGGTCACCATACCATAAGAAGGACATTGCTGCCTTAGAAAAGGTGCAACGGAGGGCTACGAGAATGATTCCTGGTCTTAGAGGAATGTCTTATGAGGAGAGGTTAGCTGAGCTGAATCTGTTTAGCCTTGAGCAAAGGAGACTAAGAGGGGACATGATCCAGGTCTATAAGATTCTAATGGGTCTGGATGCTGTTCAGCCAAATGGCTATTTTAATATTAGTTTAAATACTAGAACTCGTGGCCATAAGTGGAAATTAGTGGGAGAACATTTTAAAACAAATTTGAGGAAGCACTTCTTTACACAGCGTGTACTTAGAGTATGGAATAATCTTCCTGCTAGTGTAGTGGAAGCTTAAACCCTGGGTTCCTTTAAATCAGAGCTAGATAAGATTTTAACAACTCTGAGCTATTAGTTCTCCCCAAACGAGCTTGATGGGCCAAATGGCCCCCTCTCGTTTGTAAATTTCTTATGTTCTTATGTTAAAGAACCAGCATTAGACAGTGGTCCACGAGGACAAAGACAGGGAACCACTAAGAGAATGTCCAGCAACGGGTCAATTAGCAAAGAAACTAGCTTGAAGGACACTACTGCTATAGTCTCCCTAAGTATATTTCAGGTCTATTCTTCAGGTTTTTGTTGTATTTCTAGTTATAAGAACTAGCTAGAGAATATGAAGCACACAACATCACAGTGATAAACACTTATCTTTCTACCCCACGAAGAACTGGGAGAGACAAGACGAGTAATGACATTACGTTAACTTCTTACACCACTCAAAAACGGACTACTGATGCGTTCTGCGTGTGCTTACCAGCGAAACGCATACAAAAATGTTTAGCATCCTCTGCTAAAACAAAGCACTTCTTGTCTTGGTGCAATCCCCCATGTCTCACCTGTCGGGTTAATTAAAACCATTCAGTTTTTTTAAACAATAGTTGAAAACATTTGCATCATCATGCATTTTATTCATGAAAATCGACAAAACTGAGCTACAGCGCAATTACGTCACTTTACACAAATCGCATCCCACTTATGAATCCTTCACTCAGCAAAAAACATTTACGTCTGTTTCATAGTATTTGTAAAGTATATATGTATCAATACCAATATCTATATTTTCAATCACATTCGCCTTTTTTTACTTAAAATGTTATACTGTCGCTAATTATAAAGCATTTTATTGAAAGCAGAGTGAACCACTTTTTATTTTCACAATTTACCCGTTAATCAGCAAAGCTTAAGTACAATTTTTAATGTGCAATATGTTATGGAAATAAATGGCATTTTTCATTTTTCTTGTTTCTAGTAGTCGGTACATTACATTTTTTTTTTTTATTAGATAATTCACACAATACGTTAAGAGAACTGAAAATGGAAGCCTTTTGTGTTCCGTTTTAGAAGGGGAGGGGGGGGGGAGTGTTTTCTCCTACCTCCTAAATTATTCACATTTGAAATTTGAAAGTATTTTGTTCAATAAGATCCTAGTGGCATGACGTTACTCCTACATGAAGTTTTAGCCAATCATGGGTACTATTAAGATCATATCCACAAGAAGAGACCGTACTGTGCTCACAACATCTTGTAAGTTGTGCATAAGGTGCTTCTCCAAACTGTTCTTCAATTAGAAGATCACATCAGACTTCAAGGAGGAAACTAAATTTGTATGAATACATTGAAGACTTCAAAACCTCCAAAGAGATTAAAAGTTTCATCCCAAATGCCTGATGCTGATGCACCTTTACAGAGACTGGAAATAAATTCATCTGTATTGTTTCTGTTTTACGTGTCACATCTTACATAAGAGCCCTACCTTTTTTAAAAAAAAAAAAAAAAAGAATGTAAAATAGGAAAATGTTTTTAATTCATTTTGAGCGATTTGAAGTGTTTTATTTTTTATAATTTTTAAACCAAGCTGTAAGCAAAAAATATTTAAAAACAGGTTTTACAATATCTAAAGCTTTTTTTTATTTCTAAATAAACATTTGTCTTTGAAAAAGTCTGCATCTTTGAATGGTTAATTTTCAGTAAATTTTACCTTCAGGCACCTTGAAGGCCAGCTAACTCTTAAGTCCATCCATCAATAAAGTGAAAAGAGCCTATCTCATAACTGTACTTAAATGGAACAGTCAGTCTGAGCTACCTTCAGCTTATCTTATTACATTTAATCTCCTAATACTCAAAAAATTATTATGATTATTGGTAAAGTTTTAAGCTCTTGAATTACCATTGGACAACAAATGAGACTGACTGTATTTTCCCTGGGACGGGTCATAGAATCACCTCCCCTTGTGTTGGAAATAGGGTGACCCCCCCCCCCCCTAATGCATGTCAAGGGCGACACTACGAGCTACTTCAGCTTTTACAAACTACTCTAAAACTGAAAGGCTCCTGCGCTTGGCTAATTATTTCAGTTCTTATTTGACTGGTTTGTCTCCTTGATTGAAAGACTCATCCTGCTGTTTCACATTGACATTAGTGGCAAATGCATTATTATAGGAGACCGACCAATCGGCACACTGCAATAACAGTGCTAAAGTGAAATCCAGGTTTTTTTTAATTTAGATGGTAGTTTGCAAGCCCTATTCTCGCTCATAGTGTCCCCACTGACATGGATTAGGTGGAAATCATAATAAACCTTTTACCATAGGAACAAACCCTGTCCCACACAACACCAGAATCAAATGCTAGATCTTAGCCTTCATTCTAGGAAAAGTAACTGCTGTATAGATGGGTATACGTAGATTGTAATTAGATGTATTTGACAACATAACAGAGAATTCAAATACCTTAAAAAAATCATGATATTTATCATGAGATTTATCAAGAATAATTCAAATTCTTAATATTTAAAACATTTTAATATTTTAAATGTATTGTCATAGTTCAGACATGATCTGTTGGACTTTGGTATCATTCTTGGCACCAGTTTGTTACGTGTAAGAAGCTGAAATTGTGCAGGTTCAAACAAAACATTGGCTGCCCCCAGTCCTCAGGTCCCACTGTTGTGATCCATGCCAAAGCAGGAGATCAAATCACTCTGGTGATACTGTACCGAGAAGCTCTAGAGGGAGAACAGCATTCATCCATCCATCTGCCAGCCAGTTATCCTCCACAGGGTGACAAGGTAAACACATCATACTTTAGTAAGTTTGTTGTTACATTGATAGATCATATTCACATATTTGTGAGAACATTATAACAAAGATCGTAAATTATTTTTGTTAGATTTTACCTTGTAACTGGGCTACAGTTCATCGTGACAAAGTTGGCTGAGATTCTAAAAAAATAAATAACCAATTTAAACTTTGACTGGACCACACGTTCAGGACGCTTAATTGGAGCTGAAAACTAATTTCTACCTAGGGAAAATAATTCAAATCAAAGGGATAAACTATAAGACACTTAGCATAGCATTTGCCCTCCTTGCTGCACAAGAAACTGTAAGTTTAATGCTGTCAAGTCAGTGGAAATAATGAAACGACTGCCTGTTGAAAAACATGGTATTGTCCATCTGAATGCTTCAGTTAAAACTTCCTGTTTCATATAGGCTTATTGTGTTGATGTTGGTAATGGGACACATCCAAAGTTTCACTGCTGCTTCAGCTTCAGACCGGGAATAACAAGCATATTTCACCCAAACCAGGAAGCGGCAAAGATGACGCCCCTTCAAAGTCCAAGTTGTGGATTGAACGCTGGGTTTGCCCAAGACCCTGGGGAGCAGAAGGCTTTAAATAAGCCTTCCCCCCTTTGAGAAGACAGCTAGCCTTGCTTTATTAAAACTTTTTCCATTTTACGTCTGCCAACGTGCTCCCAGAACTACTTTGTTTTCACTCTAACTGCTTTTCTGGGAACAATTGGAATCTATTTTAGTCAGTATGAGGAGAACAGACTATTGCGTTCAAGAAGTTTTCTGGCAGAAGCTGCTCACTGTGTTTGCTTAAAGGTGTTTACAAGTGTGTTGCATGTTTGTTAATGCGCAGTTTGGTCACAAAGAGACCTGTCTATCTTTTATAATAAGCCAACTCGTCCTACTCAGGGTTTTCTCATTGACGGCACACTTGGGGTAATCTGCAACGATCCCCCGTTTACATGGCCTGAAGCTCAACATCCGAAATCCACACAGCGGAGGATTTTTACTGTGTTAAGCATATATACATTAGCAATTGGGAGTCAATATAAAATATGTATCGTCTCTTCATCCCATTGTTTAACGGCAGTTTTTTTTTTCCCCAGTGCCAGTCATTAAAATGTCAGCTTCCTGCTCAATATGGGGAGGGAAACAGGAAGCGGTTGACCGATGACTTCTGCTTCACACACAGACCTTCCTCAGCCGGCCCACAAAGCCTCTGCCGTCACACGGTGCACTGGCCAGCGGTGGAAAAATACAGCGTTCGTCTTAAAAATAGATTGGCGCCATTCAGCAGGTACTTGGAGGGATGGCGCCGGCCCGGCAACTGAACAAAAATGGAAAAAGGCCAAAGGAACGTAGGGCATGCAAAATTATTCAGCCGGCGGATCACATGACATAACAGACATTTTAAGAGATGGAATTTGGTTCCAAGGGCAACTGGGTACAGGCAGTCCTCGGGTTAAGAACGACCGACTTACAGAGAGCTAATGCTTATGAACGGACTGCCATGAAGCCTATTATTTAAAAAATACAAGGGTTTGTAATTCTGAAGGCACGTGCTACTTTGTGATGCTCATGAAAACATTGTGCAGCTTCAGCTGTCCATGGCCTGGAGGTGCAGTGCAGCACTGTATGCAGTTGCTTTTATTATTACCGTAGACTTATTATTGTTATTACTGACAATATTATTATTTTTCTGACTTACCTACAAACTTAAAGACAGACTGAGGGATCTCATTCATAACCTGGGGACTGTCTGTACAGTACCCATTTACTTTAAACTTCATTGAACTTGAGATATGTCAGCAAAGGCCTGACAATGTAACACTGTAAGACAAATGCAAGGCTGGCACACTGCAATAATAAGGGCTGTAATGCTGAAATCTTAGTGGTATTCAACATACAATATACTTATCAGGGGGGTACCTAGAAAGTCTGGGGCCCCTGACAAAATGCCAACTTGACCCCAGCCAATTTCCCATATAATTTTATGTGCTCAAGGGCCAATTCAAAGTGTGGGGCCCCTGAATCTGCCAGAGTGCCCCTGTGATGCCCCTGTTAACTACACAGAAGGCCCATTAGTGTGTGCGGTGGACCAAGAATCTGTTATCAGGAAGCACTCTCAGGTCTGACGTGTGAATCAGTATGTTCATCTGCGCATAAGCTTTGTCGTTCAGCACTGCTGCCGCAGAACTGAAAACAGGGGGATGTGTTACTGAAAACCACCAGATGGGAACAAATCATGAGATGGATTCTATCCTGTGACTTCCTGCCCCGCCTACCCCGTCTCCCCCCCCAAATCATGTGACTTCCCCCTTGCGGTCCATGTAACACAATTGCAAGCTACCATTAGCTGCTCTTATGAAAGTAATTTATTTTCAATATAAAACCCTGCAGTCGATACTCATGTGGTTTACGGCACAGCCTTGGCCTAAGTCTCTGCACTGATAATACTCTTCCGGTTCTCCCCTGGACTGGCTGCTTCTGAGTCATCATTTCACATGCCCACAATCAGGTTACACAGTCACTTCAGAGACGTTTTGATGATCTGCAAACTCAGGTCCAGCAGCACACAGAGGCTTGGGCACAGAGACCGTACCGTGTACCCATGCAAGTATATGTGTCGAGTGGGAGGGGCAATGTTGAGTAGGAGGGGTTAGGGTATCAGATGAAAACAGGCCCCTCGTCATTGCACCTTATTGCCCCTCCCACTTGACGTTCGGCTCCTGACTTCAGCAATATGCATTTCAACCCATGAGGCAAACCTTGCATTCCGTCGATCCGGAACAACACAAGCGTGTTTGACACATTGAAAACTGGTAAGAAGCAAACATGTTCACCTGTAATCTGTGCCTGATTTCCCATCACCCCCCCAGTCTTTTTCTTGTATGGAAACGGAGCTCTGAAGTCTCACACATAGCAATCTCTCACAGGACCATCTCTCACAGGACCATCTCACACAGGACCATCTCACACATGGCCATCTCACACAGGGCCATCTCACACAGGACCATCTCTCACATGGACTCACAAAGACAATACACAGCAATTTCACCTTATTCTTTTTAATTTTTTATTAAAACAAAGTGTTACAGTCCCTTGATAAATAATGTTTACAAGGTCTTTCAGCCATTAAGCTAAACTTGTAAATCCATTTTCTGTTGCGATTGTGCTTATAGATGAGAGAAAATCTCATATAAAAATACTATACAGAGAATAAATCTTTAAAAATACACATTAATATCAATGCATACGTACTTTGAAATGCATAGGGATGGACACATTTAAACCCTCAAAGCTCATTGAAAACTGATCTGAATCACACTTCTGGATTCCACTGAATTTTGTGTGTGGAAAAAAAGCTCTGCATGACCTTCATTAATATCAAGTATAGAACACAACAACTTACAAATAACAGCAAATATTGTACACTTTAAAAATGAATAAACGTTTCAGAAAAAAATCCATCTCTGTAGAATGCAACAGTCTGCTATCATTCTTTAACAACAAAGCATTACCGTCACGGAGGGAACAGCAAATGATTATCTCCCCTTTCTGTGTGCCATATTTGATACCTGTGTGCTTGGGAACTGAAAAACAAATGCAGGAATTTCTTAAAGTAAAGAGAAGGCTCTAGTGAGGATGACGACAAATATGGGGAATATTCTGAGCTTTTTCAGAATTCTTAAACAAACATAATGATCTTGTGCTTTAATGGAAGTTGGTATCACTGGGGTTTTCTTCAGCAGGACAAAATCATTTTGTTATAAACCACAGATATCTTGTGAAATTATGTTAGCATGAGTATGACCACTTAGGAGGGAAAAACAGGAACTGATAATCTGAACTAATCAGCAAAGTAACAAAGCAGCTTTTTGTGTGTGATAGATGACGCCCAGTCTATGAAGTTTGTTTTAAATTTAAGTTCTGCTCACTGTAAAACCATAGAGTTTTTGCATGCCAAATGTCCCCACAATGTGAAAAACTGTTATTCTGACATTGTTGGGACCATCTTTTAGGGTCCTCACAAGGGGGGACTCAATTTTATAAAAATCAGTGGCTGCAATCAAAAAATTATTTGTTTGATTACTTATGGTTAAGGTTAGGGCTGGGTAGGGGTTTGGGGGGGGGGGGGGGGTGTGGTGAAGTTCCCTAGGAAACATGCATTGGTAAAATAATCACCAGTCCTAAAAATTATGCATAAGGTACGAGGCTGTTTTCTCAACCACAGATGCAGGAGCGATTGTCGGGTTGGTGTCTCATCCCAAAACACGGGCCTGACAGGCAAGAAACCGAAAGAACGTGGAATAATTCATGCTTGAGCACATGCAAGATGAGCAAAAACAAAGCCCCCCCCCCCCCCCCCCCCCCCCCAAAACAGACAAATCCAGATTAAGTAAGCAGAGCAACAGGAGGAAACTGAATAACATAAAAGCACATTTAATATGCAGAAACTGTCCCTATATAAAGTTACATATAAACAACCACAGAAAAAGGTCAGTGACCTCAAAACACAGTGATCCCCCGGTTCAGCTACCACGCCCCCCTATATCGCGGTTCAGCTACCACGCCCCCCCTATATCGCGGATATGTATGTATATGTGTCTGTATGTATATGTATGTATATATATATATATACACATTACATATTATTATTATTATTATTATGTTACGGCCAACATCCACATATCATATGTGTTTACAAAGTGTGTTTTAATAAGTTTACATGTGTTTAAAGCGTGTGAGAGGGGTATTTTAAGGCTTAAACTATATATTTTTTTTAATTATATGGTCTTTTTATATCACGGATTTTCACCTATCGCTGATGGGTCTGGAACGTAACTTCCACGATAGGCAGGGATCACTGTACACGTACTCTCCATTTTCAAAAAAGAGGAAACTTGGTAAGTCAAATGTTCATTAATAAACTCGTGCTCACAGTGCAGGTATGTTCACACAATTTCAGTGATTTCATAGCTGCTGACGCTAAAGTTCCATTGTCTCTTTACTGAAGGATCACTGCTATTAAAAGGTCACGGGCATCGATACTGAGCCAAATAGTTCAAGATTTAGATTTTAGATTTAGAGCAACAGCAGATGGTACAGTGTGCAGTTCCTTGAGGCAACTTGTAGGCAGATATGAAACAGACAAAATTATCATAGTAGCATTGTGTGTGAATTAACTTTATCAGAATCAGAGTGAAGTTTTGAGGCAGGAAAAGACAGCAGTGTTGTGGTACTCAGGTCGACAACAATTTGTAAATTTTGCAGCGCTAAAAGATAGTTTAGCAGGGGGTACTGCTAGTTTGAGATTGTGATTATGCTGTACCATTACTTGCAAAAAGCAGCCCCCCTGCATTTTATTTCAGGCTGTGGTAACTCCCCCATGACTCCAAAAGAGTCAGAGTTTATAACTATTTGGTAACTTTAAGAGTAGCTTTTTCATATGCTAAATGACTTAGCATGCTAAGGTATGACTTGATTTTCGTTTGTGTCATAGGACTGGAAGCAGCTTGGCTACAAGGTACTGGAGGAGATTAAAGCACCCTTGACTGACATGCCTGTACTTGGGAACTGATGCTCTGTGGTTACGTCACATTTTGTTCGGACGTTGATTCCCATCTTTAACGAGAGAAAATAAACAATAAAGTCAAAGTTAGAGGCCTTTGTCATGGAAACCTTCCTCCCCTGAAGTCTGATAGCCCAATGACTAATCTGGATGTTTCCCAAAGGTCCCGGAGATGATTTACCACAGCAGGACCTCCTCTGAACTGCAGTTTCACATTCCGCCTGAGCCACCACTTCATGTGAAATGGACTTGATGGGATGGCAATACTGACAGGGTTATGCAGAAGATGAGGGGGACTGCAGTGCCACTGATTTACTAGTAATAGCAATATTGATAAAGACATTTGGGGTAGCTGACAATAAAATTTGGCTGGGGGGGGTTCTGCTGTAAATCAAATCTGCCTAGTGTCGGGGGGGGCACCACTAGGCCCCTGAAAGTCCCCCTTCCCTCCCTTTACTGCTTAGTAGTAGTTCATGTCCTCCTCCCAATGATAATATGAAAAGTTAAATGATAATTTGACATTAGAATAATCAGAATTATTGGGATCGAAACAATCCACACATCCTTAGCAGAAGCTAAGGTAAAATGTTTCCTGTTCCTTTTTTTTTAGATAAAGCTAATATCTTCTTATCAAATAAAAAGATCTGTCTTTGGCTAAATGCACTCTGGAATAAATTAATTCCTTTCTAAGTCTGGAAAGATGACACTATCTGCCGATATATTTATTTTTATTTCTGTAGTATGTTGGCTCACTGCTAGCTCAGTGGAGTTAGCATGTGCTTCTGTGTGGGTAAACTGGCATCTCGCAACAGACCCTCACAAAGGAAATGCAAACGTAACGCTGATCCGCTCAGTTCTGGCAGACAAGCTCTACTCAGTTTAGTCAGTATAAATATATAAAAAGCACACTTTAAAAAAGGTCATTCGAAACCAGAGTAGTTACCAGGGCCAGCAAGTCGGTAGCTAAGCATTTTTTTACACAAAGATCAGTGCCTTGTACTTTGTTTTACTGTGTACAGGGTTATGTAGTGAAAGCATGCACGAGGACACCATAAAGTGGGGTAAAGTTCGGACGATCACAAGGGCCCCTGAATGAATGGGGCCCTAACAAATTTTCAACATAACTGATCTGGGCTGGGGGCCCAATATGATATGCTTTCATGGGGGGCAAAATCTCTAGTGGCACACCTGGGCATGCAACTTATTGAAGTTATGCTGTAGTTAGCATTTTTCATTTATCCCTGTGAAATGCAGCTTTTTGTGTTTCAAAGACAACCTGTCCACTCCGAGCAGCGACCTTTCACACGGCGAGGCTAGAAATGGGAGAAGAATGAGAACAGCTGGTGAAGTACATGGTTTAAGCGTGCTCTCCACGAAGGTGAGTTTAAAATAGTGCTGGGGAACGACGGCGATGCCTGGCAGGGGAGCACGGGGAGCTTCGCTGGGGAGGGACAGCGTGACTCTGGGGGCTTAAGCGAGCATGGGGGCGGTGACAAAATCACGGAGAGATGAGGGTGACAAGAACGGGCGGGTTTAAAGACATAATGTCACGGCAATATTCTTCCAAATCCTCACATTTTTAAAAAATTAAATACAAGGGCTAGATTTTGCTATTAAGTGGAGTAAAAAATAGTTCCTTCATTTTTTTTTGAGAATTATCTTAAAATAAAAAACAGAAAAGGTTGCAGCTTAAAACGCATAAAAGCCTGTCACAATATCACAATGCCTTCTTCCTAAAAAAACAAACAAAGAAAGCCTTCTTTCTTCCGCAGTCTTTGTTTAGTGCCTTTGTTGCATTGGCTCCTGCATCTTCAGACCAGAAGTGCGCTTCCCTGTGCCTTGAAAGCCTTCCTTCCTCCCTCCGTCGCCATGTCCCAGCGCCTGACCTCTGTCTTGCTAGCCAGAGCGCCGTCAGCTCCCGGTCACACCCGAAAATAAAAGGACTTCAGCGATTGTTCGCTCTCTCGGAGTTTGTGTTTCGTCAGTTTATTGTTTTTCTCCTCGGGGCTTTTGAGAAGGATAAAAAACAAACGAAAACACTGACGACATGTAAAAAAACGAATAAAACTGAAAACGACTCCCCGTTGAGTTGTGTTCAGTAAAGTATCCAGATAGAACAGGTCTAGCTTTTGACCAGGTCCCCTCCTGATGCGGCTCATAAGTCCATGCAGCTGGTCTTGTGCTCCCTGAAGATGGGCAGTGTAGCAGATGCTTCCTTGAAGTCTGGCAGCTGCCCGCTTGTTCCCTGCGCAAGGGGGTTCCTGCTGATGACCAGCTCCAGCTTGTCCCCAGCCTCAGTGATCAGGGGCACAGCCAGACAGCAGTCGAAGTCCCTAGTGCGGACATGGTTCACCTGCCGGGGGTCAGACTGACCAGGTCAGAGCAATGGCATCATCAGGGTTACCTATGCATTTAACACCTTCTAATTCTTATAATCTTATTGCGTACTACTACTATAGTATTAGCTTCTGTAGCTGAACAAGTAGCAATGTAGTAACAATACAAAGATTGTGGGGTCAAATCTGAGGAGCATGCTTAAGCTATAGCCGTTTGCTCTACTGTAAGTAGCGTCGGATAAAAGCACCCAGTACATTGAAAGTATTACTGTATGGTTCATTTTATCTTGGGGCCCCAAACATGTGACATAGTGGCTCCATGGACAGCACCAAGCCACCCACCTCCACAGCTGTGGGTTCGATTCCCAGCTATGTCTTCGCATAGTTCTACCCATGTTTATGTGGGTGTTCCCTAGGTACACTGGTTTCTTCCCACCCTCCAGAAACTGAATTCATAAATTGGCCAGTCTGTGAGTGGGTGTCCTGTGATGGACTGGCATTCCACCATGGGCATCTTCAATCTCATGCTCATTGTTTCCTGGAATAGGCTCAAAGCTTGTCGCAGCCCTGTACTGGAGCAGCGGAAGTTCTAAAATAGTGTTTCTTGTTTTAGAAAGGAAACAACACCAATCTTAAGTAGTTAAGTGATTAATACACACGCTAACAATTTTTGCAAATTCATTGCAAACATTAAGTCATTATCTTTATCTAATCAGAACATTTAATTTTCTCCAGAAGTTTATAAACAAAAACTGCATTTCATCTTAATATCACTGACCAAGGTGGTAAATAACTGAGCGCACAATTTAAATATTCCATTAGCCCTTGATCCAATGACATTAGCAAAATGTAATTACATCAAGCCACCCGGAGGGATTGTGTTGTTGGTCTATTAGCTGTTTCTTGGGCTTTGTGGGAGGAAAAAAAAAAGACTCAAATGAAAAGTTAAGTCATGTTATGATCAAGTTATGAGCATATTTCATTTTGTACTGGAACTGAAGCTTGTTTTTTTCATGCTGCATGTAGTGCTTTTCAAAGGGCTGGACCTGATTAAATGTCATTAAGGCCTAATCGGAATCACAATGGCTGTTTCTGGTTTTGATTTCCTATATTCTCTCTCCTATTTCCCAAGACATGAGAAAGCTCATGAAATTTATAACAGGTGTGGAGGTAAGTGCTGACCTTAAGGGCTACCCCCGTTAACCAACTTTTCAAAGGTTTACCAAAAGGCGGTTTAATCTTGTCATCTGCAGGGTATCTATTAACTCACTAAATTCATTCCAGATCCACCGTTTGTGCCAGAAGCTTCTGCTTTGTGATGGAATTTGCGTGGACACAATTACAGAGCTCTGCAGCTTTTCTCGATAAACATACTCGAAAATGCACAGATCCCTTCTGTTGCTGCCATGAAGAAGCACCTGAATAAAACTGATGGAGAAGATTTTGGGCAGCACTTTTGCCCAGCTTTGTAAATCAAATGTGAATGAAAACATCTTTATATTATTGTCCATATGTGGGTTTTACCACTGGCTTTGTTAAGACTTCATGTTTCTGTGATTTTTCCCTCTGACGCTGCCCAGTATTGAATAAGGAATTATGGAAAAGGGTTGCAGGAATGGATAGGTGATCATACAGTGTTGTATGCTGGTTAAAGTCACATAGATCTATACTGAATCTTCAAAATATTCAAATTATTCATATTAATAACTATAATAACAAATATTTTTGTCAAAAGAATGAAAAAAATGCAATCCATTTTGTTTGCCCTCCATAGTGGGAAATCCACACAAGTGGCCTTTAATCTATCCAATTAAATTTTTAAGATTTATGGACAAAAGACCAACAGTTTGAGTTGTGATTTTCTCTGCACCCTGAAGAGTCGTCTCCGCAAGTCACCACAACCTTGCTCTCTCAACTCATGTTTGCGCAACACTTCCTGTTAGCCATCTTCCCTGATGCTGTTTCTATTTACCGTCAAGCTCTCTGAGGTACAGTAACTGCACAGTAAAGCGGGAAGATGGCAAACGCCGCTCTGTTAAGGTTATGTGGGCGGCGGTCCTTCCCTGCACACCTGCAGGATCCTGTCGTAAGGCCTGAGACCCGCACGCTCAGCCGGACCCTCAGGACGAATCATGTTGACGTAGACACCTTTTTCCAGGAAGCCATCCGATACGCTAAAACCAAAGTCGTCGCTCTCAGGGTCCTTCATCACCGTCACCTGAAACCGATCGAAAGGAAGAGTGCGGTCTTTAGTCAACAATCAAGTGTCATACAGGGAGTCAAACCACGAAAGAGACCCATTCCCTGCTGTGGCCAATCACCAGTTTGTCTGAAGCTCAGCCAGTAGGCAGGCTAATGTGTATGTGACAAGATGTCCGTGGGGACGGCAGGACAGGGACATGGCCACATAGTAAAATTACAGGTTCAAACTCCCCTGAAATTTGTTTGTTCCCACCAATGTTTGCCAAACTAAAGAGTTCGAACCCGCCTGGAAATTTATCAAACTCCCCTCGAAATTCATTTCTGGCCATGTCCGTACCTACCACTGAGGACACCGAGATCAAGGCCTCAGTATTATTTCTGCAACTCCAATAACAACGACCCATTATGCGGCGCACCTAAGATGGGCTAACACTTTTGACCTCATTATTTTTAAAATACTGCCTATGGCCCTGTTTTTGGCTATGGGCCTGCTGTCGAAATTCCAGTGTGGCAACAACAAGACAATAAAACGATAATATTTATCGACAGCTATAAAATTTGTAAGCAATTTTTGCTATACGGACAATCCCATAAAATACGGGACGGGTGTTGACTCTAGCTTTAAAACTTTATTAAACAAATTTTGTGGGGCCCCATTTTAATGGAGGCCCCTGGGCTTCTGCCTGGGTAAACCTGTGATTTAAGCACCCCTGAGTGTACCTTGTGCAGCTCCAGGGGTGTCGGGGACAGGATCTCCTGCATCTCCTCCTTGATCCTCCGCGACTCCCAGGTCTTCTCGGACACACGCAGGCTGGTCTTTGCCTTGGACTCGCCGTGGAGCTGGGGGCCCTTCTTCAGAGGACTCGTCCCCGGTTGGCCGGCCGCCTCCGCGTGCACCTTCCCGCCGCCCACGCCCAGGCTGAGTGCGCTGCCTGTCATGATCGACGCCTATGAAGCGTTACGTTAACATTAAGCAAAAGAATCCAGATAGGGGCCAAAAACCTCTGAAAAAAGTCTCTTTTAAAGATATTCATATAATGAGGCATTTTTAGAAGACTGTAAAATACAGTACATACAAAAAAGGTGTTGCTTAAAGTTACTTTACTAAAAGATAAACACTTTTTGTTTGTTTTTACCAAAAATGTCTCCAAGTGAACTATAACCCAGTACAATCCCAGTCCCTCAATTACTCTATACAATCTTTGCTGATGACTCCACAAAGGCAGAAAATGAAACCCTCTTACTGATTTTATTTTACAATGGCCATTGTTTGGCTTGAATGCTTATCTATTCCACACCTTATTTGTTTTTTTTTTGTCATGGTACCAGTTCGACAACTTTCTTTGCGGTCTGCAGTCAGGAGCAACCTGCCTACTGTGTATAATGTAACACACAAAACTGCATTTAGGAGCTGTATCTGTTCCACTGGCGACTTTTAACAGCCTATAATTATATTAAATATTAAAGCTTTACAGACTGCTGATGATAAGGCAGTGATAAAAGCATTTTAATAAAGTGCTGTGTTGCTCAGGATTGATCGGAAGGTCACTTGTTCAAATCCCATGACTGGCAGAGTGATTTCACCTTTGGGCCCTTGAGTGAGGCCCCTAACCCCCTATAGCTCCAGCGATACTGACTGACCCAGCTTTCTCAGTTATATATTGCTTTAAATAAAAGCACCTGCAAAATAAATAAATGACATTTTTCAAAAGTGACAAAAATTCAAGAAATGATACCTGAAAGCTCTGATCATTTCCTTCTGTCTGTCTGTTTGCCTGTCTGTCTGCCTCCCTCTCTCCCTACCTGCCTCTCTGGTCTGTCTATCTGCCTGCCTGTCTGTCTTTAGAAAGTTTTCAAATACTCCAATGAGGTCAAAATGTTGTTTTCTGGTGAGTCTTCCACATATCACACCACAACAGATATAGCTGTTTTTACATAAACATAAACTGAGTGGGGGAAGGTTTTGGTGGTAGTGGTGGGGGGGGCATGAGGTTTTTAAGTGATCATAATTTTTGCTTGAGCTTTACTGCATGAAATGCATACAGCGGGAACCCAACTGAAGATGTGCCAAGCAGCCAAGTTAGAAATGCAACTTACACATAGGATTAAATGCGGCACTCGGGCTGTTTTCAATCATGGAAGTGAAATTGATTTTTAGTTTTTGTTTTCTTAATTCAGCTTTTATTTTCTATATTCATTTTTTAATCTGAGTTTTGTTTTAGTTTTAAGTGCTCTGGTCATTTTTATTGGTGTTTCATTTTTCAGGGCTCATTTAAATTGGGTTTTATTATCAGTTTTGGGTTTTAAAAGAAGCCAGCGGCAATATAAGCTATGACGCCCGTTAACCGTGAAGCACGCACTTTCCTGGCAGCGGGCCTGAGCAGGAGCATCAACGAGGAAGCAGCCAGGGGGTGTTTACCTCGATCTCCCTGAGGAGCTCCGACTGGCCGCAGGTCTCCAGATCCTCCAGAGCCTGGCACCAGAAGGTGTCGCCGTGATCCAAAACGAGGCCGTCGCTGTGCGCATGGCTCACGTATCTGTGTCAACGCAGGAACCGAAAAACGTGAGCAATGCGCCTGGAGGGCCAGGGGGGCGGGGCCAGGCGGGGCAGGGCAGGGCGTGGAAGGAGGTGGGGGTCCAAATGCTTTGGCTTCCAGGCCCAGTTGGGGGGGGGGGGTATTCATTTAAAAACTAATCTTAAGGATTCAAGAAAAAAAAAAAGCTTCATGCAGATCACTGATGGGCCACTGAGACTGAACAGCAGTGAGGCACGTGTGAGGTCATAAAAAAAAAAGACAACAGACAGCACAGGGGTGTCCTCGGGTTGAGGTTTTTGGGAACACGGTGGGGGAGGGGTGAGGGGGGGGGCAGGGGAGAGTACATTTATGGGAGAGACGAGGAGCCCCACAGGCAGTTACTAAGGTACAGTAGATGGAAGACAGTGACTCAGATCTGAGAGACAGAACACCTGAGAAGAGAGAAAGAGAGAGAGAAAGATACAGACAAACAGGACTATGTGAAAGAATGGAAAACAGAGCAGTGATTCTCTTCATAATACAATAAGCCTTGTGACCACCGGTACACCCTGAACCTGATATACACAGGCCTGTCACATTACTATGGCCCTCTGAGGCATCAGCTGAGCGTGAAGCAGTATTACTGATGTAAAACCGCAAGGATTTCAAAGAAAAGGAAACAGAGCGATCAGAGACTGAATATCCCACATGGAAAATCTACAAGCAATTCATTTTTCCTGACTTTTTCAGTTATGTGTGTGTGTGTGTGTGTATATATATATATATATATATATATATATATAGTTCCAAAAATGGAAAATACAAACTCCTACTAACAAGTTGGTATGTACATGTCCGAAAACAATGACAAAACATTTGCCTAATCCATAAAAACTTCCCATGGTGCATTACAGGGGGTCGCCAGCCTTCATTCTTACCCCGTGGGCTTGTCCCAGTCATCCTCGCTGAAGCCCCCATCGCTGAATGGATAGTTCTTGCGGCGGCCTGCAGGGGGAGTTGCGCTCCTGTGCTTGGCATTCCGCCACTCATGGGGGTGCAGGGAAATGCCGGCAGCCTGGTGGATATACGTTCCTGGGACAGAGGAGGGGAGAGGCTGGTACTGGGATGCTGATTACAGGCAAAAAAAAAGTGTGAAAACAGGCTAAAGGAGCTGATATTCTGATGTGAAACAAAATATTTACATTTATTCAGTAGGTACTTTTGTCCAATGTGACGTGTAAGTAGTGATCAGCCAGCGTCCCTGGATCAAATGGGGTTTAGGACCTTTCTCAAGTGATATGGTTAATATTCTATGGAATTTGAACCCATGACCTATGACATGGGCACAGACCCCCAGGGGTTCCACTGGAGGTTTTGGGCCACATGGAAGCATATCATATTGGGTGCCCCAAATAGATCAATTCAATTATGTTCAAAATGTTTTAGGGCCCCTGTCATTCAGGGGCCCTTGGACTCGTCCTGACTTCCCTTCCCCTTGCGGTGCCCTTGCAGGCTCCTAAGCTGCTGCGCTACACATTGACCCATGACCCCTTTTTGACAGTAAATTGTTTACATTTTTTCCTGCAAAGTCTCCCAGAATTCCGAAACCCGCTTTTTCCTACTTTAAAGTCCCAGCTCTAGGCTGTAGGGTCATGAGGCCCAATGTAAGCCCACCGCACCTTGGCTCCCGTAGCCGGTGTCGACACCAGAGCTGTCCCACGACTCCGTCGCCGAGTCCACACTGGGAATGGTGGTAGAGAAGATCTCAGAGAACTTGTTGGTCTTCTGAGAGTCAGTCGTCTCGTCCTCGTTGTCGCTCAGGTCGTTCTTGAGACCCGACTTCTTATCGCTTGGGGCTGCCAATACAAACTTGATAAAGTTCTGTCTTGCGAGGATACAGAGGCTTTCCCTGGGGCGTGTTGAGCGCCCCCTGCAGGCACACACTCACCATCGACCTGTTTCTTGATCTTGAGCGTGACTGTCTCTCCAGCCATCTGCAGCAGATGGATGGCTTCGCTGAGGGGCTTCCCTTTCAGGCTCACGCTGTTAATAGCCAGGATGCGGTCCCCCACGTGGATTGCCCCTGTCCTGCATGTACAAAGATGTGGGGCGGGGGGGGGAGTTCCCTTTGGCACTGTGCACGATTTGTCGCAAGGAGAGGCCCAATCAAAAGGCACATTTCTGGAGAGTGTCGTCATGGCAAAATAAAACTGCGACATAAACTGAGAATCCAAACACAAAAACTTATATATCGACATCAGAAACAAGAGGAAAAAAACAATAATTCAGCTTTTACTCACTGCCCCTTACAGATAAACTCCAAACATTTACAGCTATTTGACACTTTTTATGCAAAGCAACTTACTAGCACAATGCACTAACTGTTGAGCTACAGCAACAGACAAGGCAGCAGTAATTTATCACACTAAACTATTGTTATCTATCTATCTGTCTGTCTCTGTCTGTGTGTCTGTCTGTCTGTCTGTCTGTCTATCTATGGTCCTTTTAATTGTTTTATATATCCTGCTCAGTAATCACGTTACTCTACATGTTTTGTATAACAGTCAGACACTGAGGTCAAACAATGATAAGCTAGCCACCATGAAAGGGACAGCAGTCAACTTCAGGACAAAGGTGTGGACTTAGACTTCATCACAACACATACCGACTTAGCCTGGTGGTCTGTGATACTGAAATGACAGCGTCAGCACTAGTGACTATCTCTGCAGGATCTTCAGATCGGCCTCCACAGATTTGCAAAGCTTTACATTATCGATGCTGACAGTTATCTGACAAGTTGCATCAGGTTACTTTGCAATGCACACTGCACAAGTTAGAGTCTGACAGCTTCAAACATCACCATGGTACAGTCACAAACTCGGCGGTAGGTATGACAGAATTTGTGTGTGCAATTCCCTAAACTAGCCAGCAGAGGGCCTCACAAACACACACACACACACACACACACACACATACAACTTCACGAAGGAGGTACTCGGCCTCACCTCTCAGCGAGGCCCCGTTTGGTGAGCCCAGAGATGACTATGGGGTCAAATGGCTCCTCTGTGCCTGAGATTGTTATGCCTAGAGGTCCACCATACCTTTTCAGCTCCACAGTGTAAATGATAGATCCTGAAGTCTCCTGCTCATCTGATGAAAAGAGGAAAAAAAGATGGTCTACTTCAGCCTATGTTACAGACAACCTGCAATGGCAAAGACCTTTCATGGGGAACAAATACTGAGAGGGCAACAGGATTTTCAGTAATTGCTCCATAAGGTGCAATTAGCAACAATAGCATTGTAAGGTGCAATTAGCAACAATAGCATTGTAAGGTGCAATTAACAGCAATAGCATTGTAAGGTGCAATTAGCAGCAATAGCATTGTAAGGTGCAATTAATCCACAAAGAAACTTCAGGGAAACGAAAATCTGATATTCTTTGATATGTTTGGATTTACAAGTAGGTCACCAGTGAAGCTTGCCTGGAGATCCAGCAGATGTAGGAGAATGCAAAACCAAGGCATACACATTTCAAAAGCAATGAAAAAAGGCTGTCAGAGCCAAAGACTTCAGTAATCTGCTAGTCTGACTGAAGAGAATGGGGTCTCAGATGTAGCAGCAGAGATCCCAGGGCTGTTTCATACAGTATGGGTGCTGACGCGAGGGTACGGATGGCGGCAGTCTGGTAGCAGCAGAGATGGTCCCCACCATGGTAGACAGCATCTCTCTCACCCCAGAGGGAGCAGATACCTATTCACCTCTGCTCCTTGGTGAGTCCTGACGAGTTTAGAGGCTTTTGAGATGTTTAATAAGTCGACATTTTGCCATCAAGGTTCAAGCGGCAGATATTCTGGCACGTTCAATACAGCAGCAGATGTTGAGCTGACTTGTCATACCTCTCCTGTGGAGCAAAGCCTGGAGTATAGTGCCACTTTGAAGAAGTCTCGAATGCCTCCGTATTGACTCTGCGCTAAACACTCAAACTGAACAAACTTGTTGCCCCAGATTGTTTATACTCCTGTTTTTCATCACAAACAGGGTATTTTTGCTTCTGTAAACTGTTAAAAAAAGGACTCTGTCTAGCAGCGACTCCTGACCTTGAGTACACAGACAAGACCAAGAGACCGTGACTCATCGGGCCTCTGCCACGAGTCATAGTCCTTACTGCCACCAGGACCATCAAACATCAAATTGCCTAAGATGAATGCAACACAGGGTACTCTTACTAGCCTCTTATTGTTCCAAGTCCATGAAGTGAGTCAGTTTCTCACAAACATTGCTTTTTTTAATAGCATGTAAGCATTTTCAGGTCAAGCCCATTCTTTGAGGAGCACGTCAAGGATGTAAGGTCAGGGATACCAGTGTTTATCATTCCAAAGCCGTGTGGCTGGTGTCAGATCAAGTCGGTTCCCTCCATCTTGTCGTTTCCTCTTTTCATTCCACGGCAAAGGAGATTCCTTTTCTTCTGCACCTTTTCTTTACCCGGCTTTCACAACTCTTGTCATCTGAGAAGCACTGAACCTTCTCTGAAATGTTTATTTTCTGTCTCCCAGCAAGATCACAAGTCACAGGAAGATGTACAGTGTTGGAGGTGCACTATTCATGGACATTAAGATGGTATGTTTATTTTTGGCAGGGAAAAAGGCCATTGCTGGCAAATGTTTATTTTAATCCCCTAAGTAAACACTCCTGGTATAGCTTCTGCTTCTTGCATTATTAATGAAAATGCAAGGCACTCAATCGATTTTTAAAAAACAATACAAACTGCCAAACAACATTTCGACATTTCAAATTCAAATGGAAACTCAATGCTGCCACGTGCAGGTCTCTTAAAACCATCCTGGAGCTGGTGGTCATACTCATCCAGATTGACCCTCAATGCTCACCAGAGTTGTCCTCATCCTTGCGGATCTTCAGCTTCACCAGGTCCTCACTCTGCTGCAGGATCTGCATCGCGTCCTCCGTGGAACAGTTCACCAGCCGCACGTTGTCAATGGCCAGCAGCTTGTCACCCGGTTCCAATGTGCCAGTTCTACAAAACATCGAGGATGTAGACAAAAAGAACGATAAAGATGGAGGACAGGTCAGACCAATCTGGTAAGTCTACTGGAGTCCAAGCCAAAAGTCAGATTCAACAATGTGCCCATATTTACCTAGTGAGACACAACTGAGTCACCAAAAATATGTAATACAAGTAAATACAAATACTGTGATGGGTTGGCGCCCCATCCTGGGTTGTTCCCTGCCTTGTGCCCAGAGGCTATGGGATAGGCTCCAGACCCCCCAAGAGGATAAGCGGCTACAGAAACTGGATGGATGGATGGATGGACGGACAAATGCAAATAAGTGTGTAAAAAGTCAGTGGTCTTGCTCAAGCTCAGTCTCAAATAAACTGCCAACTGGATCACACCAGGACAGCAGAGACCTCTTTGTCAGTTTCCAAAGACAGTCTGGAATCTCCACCATCAGAAAGCCATCCTGACAACTGCTGAGATAGCACTTGTCTCTCTACTCTACTGTATAGGCTTTGTGCTTTTTAATAGCCATGGTGATGGAACTGGGATTCAGACTAATGAGATTCAGTGATCTCAGTCTGCAGTTTGTCAAAATTGTCAAAACAATGCCAGGGGCCCAAGTTTGAAACAGAATTCACAAGTGACAGGCAACATACTGAAATTGTGACATGCGATAATTAAAAAGCTGATGTCTCACCCTGCTGGATGTACAAGGTATTACATTACCAGGTCACAGCAAAGCAACACTGAATATTCTGCAATAAGACATAAAACTCACAAAACATTTTTTTTGCAAATAACTGGTGTTAGCCAAAAATTGCACAAGTTTGTGTTTTGCTGTTGCTGCTGCATCTTAGACAATGCACAACAATATTATTAAGTGCATATAAATTATTTATTTTAAATAATTTCTTTTTTACCCTTTGTAACTGATGCTCTAGCTTTCAGTAAGGTCCTCTTAAGTGCCACAGAATTTTTTCAGTCTGGAACTTTAAAAATGTATGAAACAGAATTACTTATAATTAGGAAATATTAGTGGGATATTCCAAGTGCTCTTTGACATTTTGGAGTTAAAAAATACATACACTTTGCTGTTTGAATTACTCAGCTACTGGAAAAAATGTATCCATTAAAAAGTTATTTTATTCACATTGTTGGCTACAAGATCTTTTACGACAAATTTACTGTCCCTATTTTTAGCTAAAAATGTTCTGCTCCCATCTAACAGGAAAAATATATTCCAATTGTTAGAACAACAAATTTGTGCTGTATTTTTCTTGTTTTTGATTGTATATAGTTTTCAGTTTTTGTTTGCCAAAGAATGCAGCAAATAAGTGGTAATTCAGCAGCCAAATGTGAGAATTATAACTTCAGATTTAAATTAAACTCGACTGGCATCACTCATTACAGAACAACTCAAAAGGCGCTTTCCCATCGAAGTTAAAGAACCTAGTTCTTAACGGGGAACTTTTGTGTCTCCTGGCTACCTGTTGCTTTCCCACCGCACAACAGGAACTGTGACCTTTATGCTAAATAAGCCTGGGAAATGCAAAAAGCTCATAGGTTAACCTACACATTCAATTTCACACAAAACTACACCGCCACCCCAAAACAATGCTGGTAATTTTGTTAGTTATTGGGGTCTGAAAACATGGGACAAATTGTATTTTATTTAAGTTGTATTTATATAGCCAGCATATCCATCTTTCTTTTTCCACAGAATAAAAAAAACAATGTAATTTTTGTTAATAAGCACTACCAAGTTTCACTGCTGGCACCGATGATATTAAACACAAGTATGCTGGTTATTGGTCAAATTTTTCGATGCAGAAATACAGAGATGCAAGCAACAAAAGTATCCATTAATGCATTTTATGTAATTCAGAAACAAAAATAATTCCATTGGCTTAATTTTATATCCAATACTTGTATCTCTTTTCCCCACACTTCTGCGTAACTTCCAAATTAGCGTCAGGGCTTGCGGTCCACCAATCAGCAAGATTTACAAGCCCTACCCAGTACTTCAGTACTCGTCGAGCAAAATGTACTTAGGGTTTTTCTCCACCGTACTTCTCCCAAACCCGTTTTACGTCATCCACTTCCGACGCCCAGTCCCAATACTCAAAGGCTACATCCCAAAACCCTTATACATGTATGCGCCACCCTTCCTCACTACCTTTCCTTCGCTCTGGAAGTTTTTCCGAAATCCAGATGTTTAAGTACTGCCCCAATACCTTAGAGAAGGAGTCATCGCGGGGCAACTTCTGCTCAAATCTCCCCTTTGCCAGGGGAATGTGGAAGTCTAGTCGAGAGTACCCTTTGCTAAAGACAAATTCATTTATGGTGACAACCATGCATGAGGTGGCAAGAAAGTTTCTGCTTCACTGATAACTTCATACTAGGAGTGTACACGTATTCATACCGAAAATTCGGTATGCAGGTCTTTCGGTTTGGTAAGCATATGTACCAAACAAATGCAGCAAATGAGGAACTTAATGGGTTACTTCCCCTACTTCATACATACAGGCAGAGCATGGTAAGTCAACAAGGATGCAAGAGTGTCCCGATTCCGCTTTTTGTCCATGCTTCCTCGCTCACACATTCATTCCTTCCCTCATCAACTTCTTGAACTTTCAACTTTAGACAGTGAATAACTGAGGGAGGGGGCAAGGGAGCAGTCAAAAAAACAGTTTTGGGATGTAGCCAAGAACAGAAATATAGAGGATGGTAAAAATCCCCGGATGTCATTCTTGCCCCCCACCAGATATCAAGGATGCATCAGTTGCATTCTTGCTAAATGAGAATAATCCCATGATTCATTGCGTCCGAAGTTAGTTCTTGGGAGCAAGTTAGCAGGACTGCTCTTTCCAAGACCACAAGTATGATCTTTTCATTCTTGGTATTGAAAAACACCCCTAGCTAATCCTGAGCAGCGACTTAAAAAAAAGGTCCCAGAACTGCCTCAGAGGAGCTACAATCCGGACAGACTTCTTTAGGAGACCTTGTCAGAACTTTTTCCAAAGAAGGGAAAGTTACACAAGAGATATCAGCATATAATATCAAGACTTATAAAACTTTTTAGAATTTGCATTTGTGCATTTCTTTTGTACTACTAGGGAATGAAAGAATGAGAACTCAATGTATATTCCCAGAACCTAAAAGTACACACGATTACAGGTGATACTTGATACAAAGTAACATACATTATTCCGTTTTATTAACCACTTGGATATGTGGAACCTGAAACCATGTAGCTTAAGTACACAAGTCAAGGGTACAACAGCAGAGCTTCTGCTCACCCCTGAACCAGTAGGTTTCAGGGTACAGTACCTTGTCCTTTGCCAAACCTCTACCAGTCAGCCCTGTGGTTATCTATTTGTGGCACATTTTCAGATATGTTGCATTAACAATTCGAATGACTGACAACGGAAATCAAGGAAGTGATAAGATTCTGCCGCTAAGCCTTCCTGCACATGAGACTGACATATTTATCTGAGGACTCCTTCTAGTGTAGCAGCCAGTCATGTTACACAGTTTTGCTGGTCTTGAAAACACTCCCTTTTCATCAAATAGCATGATGAACTAGGCTTTCCAGTGACATGCTGGACAAATTACTGCCACACAAAAGGGGACAAACACGGTAAGTTTCAAAGGTAAGAAGCTATTCCTAGCAGAAGGATGAAGATAAGGGCCCTTCCACTAACTTCAGCATAAACCGAAATCTGAAATCACCAAAAGCTGTCCTTCCCACCCCAGGACAGCACATGCGGTACTGATGAGTGATGCATGCTGGGATATGTGGTGTCCAGCTGGGGCTGCCGTAGACAGACATGCTACATACCGGTGAGCCACGCTCCCCTTCTTGATGTCGGAGATAATCAGAGGCTCTCCCGGCTTCTTACTCGCTGTCGGAAAGAAGGAAAAATGACTTTACTTTCAAACTCAGGGAAAAAAAGCCCTACACACAAGGCTTAAAAGACCAAATGATTTTATTCCCTTCAGGCAATCTGAGGACGCCTGCTACTGCTGCCTGAAGGTCCCCAGAGCATGTGCTTGTCAGCCATGGTGCAGTATACTGTAGCTACACTATACTCATCACATGTCTATTTATTGGGCGAGGGATATTTTATCCGGTTGACAGCCTTATTGAACTGTTTTTTTTCCTTTTGTCCCCAGGAGGCATTTCCTATATTTATCAACACAACTACAATGAAGACGTTAAGCGAAACCTTCAAAGCCATCTGCATGTTGACGGCGATATGAGAAATATGTGCTTACCTTCAAAAATAAACAGGAAATAAATACTATAAGACACAAAGCACACATAACAATAAACAGAACTGAAGTGTGGGACTAAAGAATACACATAACAGAAAATACATAGTAGTATAATATCAGCTTATATTTCTAGACGCTGTGTTACAGTCTTATCACACAATATTGCGTTATAGCATTGTTATTGGTCAGGGGATCTTGGGGCTGCTATTGGATTGAATGCGTCTGTAACAGTTCGCAGCGCAGGAAACAATCTGAGGACAATGGTTGGCTATTATTAACTTAATGGAGAATTGGTGGAAGAAAACAAGACACTAGCTCATGCATGCTCCTATAGCTGAACAAGTAGTGCTAATAACACAAAGGTTGTGTGTTCAAATCCTGGCAGGTACATGTAAATTGTAACACTCCCATCTACTGTAAGTTGTGTTGGATAAATGAATGCAGTGAATAAATAATTTGAGTCAAGCAGCCTCTTGTATAGATTTTTGAATTTCTCCCTGAGCATGGGGGACAGAAAAGACGAGCACATCCCTGGGTTTTCCAGGAGACCACCTTGATACAACATTTATACAAATGCTGCAGAAACACTCTGAGCTTTTCCTCAAAGTGATTATATGCCAGGGTCTGCCAGAGCCTTGAAGTGGGCGTCAGAAGGGAATGTAAATACTGGCTATCAAGGGCTGGGGGGAGCTTCAGTGCTGCCCGTGGTCTGCATTGCAGTGACGGGACCATAAACGGACAGAGTCGACTTAACAATAACAGAGGGACGAAGAACGCTTAAGATGACAGGCGAGTGAAGCCAGCTGTTCAACATCCACACCTTTCCAAGGCCAGGAGACCTGCCAGAAGGAGAAGACCCCCCATCTTCATTTATGGCATTTCGATATAAACAGAGACAGCCATTTTGTTTCAAAACAATCTTTTTTCAGGTTTGTATAACTTTACAGTTTCCTTTTAAAGAGTTTTTCTTATTTTAAATTACCCCAAGATTTGTAAAGAAGGCTTTAGAATTAACTATCATTATTCCTGTATTTTTTCAATATGCCTATTAAGTAGGATACACACCAAGTAGCTTGCAAATTAGGTTATTATTTCGATTAATGCTATTCGTATTAAGAAATAAAAAAAAAAAAATTGATTTCAGTAACTACACGGCTCTTTGTTGTTAAGAGTACAAAGCTTTCATTTTGAAGGAAGAAAAATTAAAGCATAATCATTTCAATTTAACTTTAGGTAATTTTTTTTAAAGTAGAGATTTCCTGCTGAAAGCAATACATAATTTTAATGGTGTGCAATGTGGCTTCAAGTTTTTCTTTTTGTCAAGGCACAAAAATAATGGGAAAAGAGATTGGAAACATCTGCCCTGCAATTATGACATTTGGCGACAAGTTAAAAATAGTCATAGGTCACATTATGGAATTCAGCAAAAGGAGACCCCCTCCTCAAGGTGACACCATAACAAAATGTCTGGTGTCTGTCTGGGGTTGGTTGCCTCTTATGAGATCCGGGGGGGGTGAGACAGGACTGTGTAGGGAAAGCTTAGAATCGCTGTCTTGTCGTTGGCAGCGATGTATAGACATAATCAGAGGAATACAAAATTACGTCAGAGAAATCCACTGTGCTCATGCCGCAGCTGGTATTACGGATATGAGGCCTGAAGGAAGTGATCATCATTCAGTCCACACTGAAGCACACTATCATCTCAGAGTATTTTCTAGCAAAATGCAGTCCCATCCATCCATGAGAATGCAATATTTTCCACCGTCGAACAGTGAAATCAATTTATCTTTCCGCGTAGCGAGAGTATAAATTCTGGGTAACGTACGGTGATGCTATGCCCCGATGACGCTACATCAAATAAATAGAAATTTGACTGATATACACACCAAAAGATACTGATTAATGTTGGCAAATTCATGATTCCTTTAGATGGGCCGCCGCTGAGTGTCCCTGTGGCCCTGGGCCCCATCCTGTGAGGCCGGCCCGCCCGCATGGGACTCAATTCACAGGAAGATTAATTCGCACGGTGGGCTGGTGTCGCCAAGCAACATAACCGCCCGACCCCCCCGGTCGAAGATGCTCACCGCTGATGGTGATGCCCAGCTCCACTCCTCTCTTCTTGGGAAGCTTTACATGAAATGTGCCACTGCTGGGGATGACAGATTCTGGGGGGTGGGGGGGGAGGGGACTTCACACATTTGCAAATCAAAACAAAAATTCTGACAGCCCCAGGTCATGCAGCAGTGAAGTGATAGTAAATCACACATGCAGAATTCTTCCTGTGTCCCAATTCTAAGACTCATAGCACCCGACTGTAATTTATTGCAAAACGCTACTGTAAAATAATGCAATTCTGTGTGACAGTGACATGTGTTGGTTTTATATATCTTTGCCTGTAATCAAATTCAGCCCCGATATTATTTATACTTGAATAATTCCAAGCAACACAAATTGAGTTGAATTGAGTTTAATGAAACTCTTTAAAAAGTCTAATTTTATTCTGAGTCGCTGGGTTCTGCAGAAAATCACTGTCATGCCTATTAGATATCAGCATTCCTATCAAATCAACCACTTTGCCAGAAGACCAGCAATATTCTCGCTCAGTGTATATAATTTTACATCGACCAAGATCCAGGTCAAAGACATAAAAAGGAAAATGTCACTCCCCTCGCATCTTCTCCTCCATATTATTTAGACTAAATACCATCTTTAGCCTGTCCACATTCATCATCATCCATCCTAACAGCTAAACTTGAAATTCAAATTAAAATATCAATGTATTGTACGTACACACAGACACCCATATACAGAAATAATGGCCCTTGAACAAACAACATATTCCACCCCAGAACAAATGTGCAAATTATCCCTTCCACCACTTATCTTTAGAACAGTGAATAGTAATATATCTGTACTGCAATAAAAATGTGTTAGAAATGCCAAAGGTAATTCCTCACAGTGGCAAAAGGAAGACAGACTGTCCATCACAGAGCTCTGTGAAATGCAAAGTCTAGTCTGCAGCTCACATCTGAAGGAGAAAACCTGCAGGGTTCTTTTTTATGTCTGACTGATATAAGCTCTACACAAATCACGTGTTGCTAGTCCAGCAGTAGCTAAGACATAGCTAAACGCATAAAAAAGTGAAATAGTTAACTCATTTGAAATGCATTTTACAAAGAAATTTATAAGTAAATAATCTCATTAATATCACAGAATAAAATAAATAATATTCATATAAAATATTTATGTTTCTAAAAATGTGTTTACATCTTTATTCAGCATTCATCATTCTCGGTGTTTACGTTGATCTCGACAAATTTTGGTGAGGTGTGAGAAGATGTGATATTTAGCTACTGCCTTTCTGTATGCAAGCAGATAAATTGACAAAAGCAGAAAAATATTTAAAAAGTCTTATTGCTTTGTGAAATATGTGAAAAGTGGAACCAAAAAGAATCATAAATGACCAGTCTCTCTAGCTAAACAACAAGACTTGGTCTATTTACTGGCTTTGAGTAATTTGGAAGGTATTACGCTAAGACTAAGATTTGAAACAGCTGAACTGAAAAACTGAAAAAAAAGATGTAAATTTTAACCTGCTACATCAAACTCCACCTCCAGGGTGACCTTATTGGCCAGAGCTGCATCTCGGAGCAGCTGATTGGCTTCTTCCAGTGTTCCATCCTCTGCTGGTATGCTGTTTATGGACAGTAGTCTGTCCCCAACCTGCAGCAATCCACACCTGTCAACAAACACACACACACACACACACAATAAAAAATCCATTATTACCTCACATACATGGCTTTAATTTCTAAACTTTTAATCATCTCAACAGCTGGATATTTCAATAAAGTAATTTAGATATGTTTTGCTCAAGGGCACAGCAGCTGCTCGTCTTCCTGGGAGCCGTTTGTCCAGAGATTCGTTAACATCGATGCTATTTTCCTCAAGCCAACGAGGCCCATTACATGTCGAATGACAGGATTTCTGGCTTAGGAATGCATAACAAATTAGTCTAATTTACAAGGGCGGTCGATCTACCCACTGACGAGAGATTAAAGTATGAAACGAGGACAGGTGCTCTTCATTTGATACAGGCCTTCGACAGGTGCTCTTCATTTGATACAGGCCTTCTTGCCCCCCGTTTCATGCAGTCCCACAGAAAGTCTCAGGATGCTTGTTCAATTCAGTAAAAATGTTGCAATTTTTTTTAGTTTCCAACAAAAATCATTACTTTCATTAGTTTTCAAAAAATATATATCAAATTAGAAACAATCAGCAGTTTTACGTAAAAACATCAATTTAAAGTAGTAATAAATTTAAACCCGTATTATAGTTCTAAAAGAGCTGTTCTGAGCTAAAAAAAAAAAAGTTAATTATCATGCAGTCTCATTGGCTGCTTTTTAACTAGTAACACCTTTGCAATAACATAAAACACCAAACATTTTAGTGTCTTTAGTGTCTCTCTGGGATCCAATGACTACAACTGCAAATATTCTTCACTGTCAAACAAGCTTAAATAGGATAAAAAGGAGAAAAGCACTAAGTCAGAAGCACAGAATTTTGCTTGCTTGCCTCGATCATCTTCTGGCTCATGTTCACAACCTCTGTGCACCATCATTACCATAAACTGTAGGGCATCAGTTAGTGCCATTGGTTTGTAATTTTGTGTTAAGAAATTATACCAACCATTATGGGAGGAAGCTATATTAAATTTTGTCATTAGATGATTGTGTCTCCAAAGTGACATACAGTTGCAAGACCAGGGTCAGCCAGTCCCTGGAGGATTTGGGGCTAAAGGCGTTTCTCCAGGGCCCACCTGTGAAATCACTCAAACATGTGATCTGAATCGGCGACCTTCCGATCACAGGCAGAGCGTGAGTGACACAGAGCCACAGTCCAGCTCATATGTAAAAAACCAACCGAATACAGAAGCAGCTGAATAGCCAGGCATGGCGACCAGCAGATGTCCACGGTCTTAAAACTAGGTCAGCTGGATGTGACCACGATGCTGAGACAGAGGTCAGACACATTTGTATACATTAATAATAGGGTCAAGCAGGCCTACTGGGAACGGACAAATGAGGTAATGGAACCTTGGCAAAGACATTCGGAGTGCCTGAGAAAATCACTGAGAATGTGACAGTCAAACTATATATATATATATATATATATATATATATATATATATATATATATATATATATGACACATGTGACAAACGGTCTCATGAAAGGTGATTTTGGGGTCCCTTGTCCTTGCCTGGTAGCGGAATACAAATGATTAGGATGCTGAGCAGCGTAATTGACGCTGCACCGACAGTTTCGGCAGGTCAGTCATTTAGCTGGCAAGCTGACGGATGCACCATGTAGAGCTGGTGGCCAAGCGTCAGATTCTATTAGCTACCCGCTGACTGATCGCTAATCATCGGCATCTTGCAGGAGGGAGAAGTCAAGTGGCACTTTCTGTGGGTACGGGGCCATTTCTGGGTCCTGGAGAGGAAGGTGCTTAGCGTCACATCACGGAAACCTGAGGACGAACCTCACCGCAGCAATGAGGGAGACGGATGCCTTTAACGGCGACTCCGGAACAGCGAGGGCAAGGACACCAGATGAGGTCCTTCTGAGACTCGAGTTTACACGTGTGATATGTCACTCTAATGGGAAATTAAATGAAAAGGAAAAGATGATAATGAGATATCCAATTTCACAGCACACTTTGTAAACGAGACCCTGACATGCCTTGACTCCGAATATAATCCCAGCATTAAATCTCACTGATAACAGGCAGTCCTCCTGTTGCTATTCCTGCAGAGTCTTGACCCAGATATGAAAGTAATCAACTCTTACGCAGCCTGACAACTGCCAAGTGATTTCAAATGAGCTATAAAGAAAATGACTTTTTCCTTTTCAAGATCCCCGAAAGATAGGACTTATATGTAGAGTAATTTTAAAGGATCATGGTGTCTACCTGTAATTTAAAACTAAGCACTGGGGGGCAAGATGACCCACAGGGGTTCTGTAAGTATCTCACGCAGATCCATATCGACGGTAAGTGTGGCCTAAAAGTAGAACTACTTCGTTTGATTCATCATCTGCCCATTAGTTCTGCATAATTAATTATAGGTGACACTAGGGCCCATGGCAGGAAGGATAGGACACCCTCAACATAAACCAAATGTCTTTGGATTGAGGGAGCTGACTGAACTACATAGAGGACATGGGATTGGAAATGACACCCCCTAGAGGTGAAAGGCTGCAGTGCTGACCCATGAGATGCCACTTATTTGTTATGAGAAACATAAACTGGCATAATTTCACCTACACAACTGGATTCAGGGTAAAATTCCTTTAAGCGAGTATTTATTTAGGTCTGATTTCAACCAAACCGATCGCAATCGTTTGTGCTGTTAAAACTGTCCTTTGTGCAGCTTCCATGCAGAGATATTGCTTATTTACACAGTCACGTGACTTCGCTGTTAAGTTAGCCCCCCATTTGCCTCAGAACCGGTCTCAATATTTTGTGCTGTTTAAAATTTGTCTGTACTGTTATTTTTCTTAGTTATACCTCTTAGTTTATGCCTTTACGTCAGAGGTCACTAACAGGCGGGCCGGGTCCGGACCCAGAAGCTGTCCTATACGGACCCGGACCGATAGCCAAAACATGAAGTTATTATTTAAAACCTGACGGGACGCTTCTATTTTAACCGTCGCAGCGTTTGTAGTCTTTTTGGTAGTGGTTTAGCAGTAGAACCGCTGTTTCCCACGCCAATGAACGTCAAACGCCTTTGACCACCAAGCAAGACGTAATTCGGCGTATGCAGCCCTTTGCGCTAATGTGCCGTTAGTGTTAGTAGCAGCATCGAAGCTAAAACCACATCCAAAAAGCCGTAATGTTCCTGACAGAGTGACTGGTCTGTCCTGAAATCGTAAAGCTGAACAATTTTCAAATACAGTATGTATTATATAACATATTGGATAAGTAGACGTAGTTCATTGTTGATTTCATGTTCGTTGAAGTTTCTGCTTTTTAACATAAGTATAAAGTAATGTTATCTGTTATAAATAAACTCGGTTGAAAAAATTTACATTTTCATGGCTGCCAAATCTCAAGCATCTGGCATGACACGCTTTCAGACTCACGCTGGAAATCCGCACGTACTTAGTCAGCCCCGCCAGCCAAGATAGTGCTGAATAAATTCAGTATCTCACCCATATGCGTTTCGTATGTAGCACTTTGTATTCATTTTATGCTGCTATTTAATAAGGGGGCGCTGTATTTTCACGTGAGCAATGCCATTTTAGAAATTGGGGGGCGGGGGCGTTAATATTTGTGAGTTCTATACCTGGGCATTAACTATACACATACATATATACGTATTCATACATAGACATACATATTCTTCGCTATATTTTTACAAAGACAGTAAAACTTCATTATTGGACATTTTTATTTAACCGCCATGTGTAAGTAAGAGGGTCCATGGGAAGGTAAAGACATCACAGTACACAGTGCAGGCAAAATGACAAGAGTTTTTTATACATTGTTGTACAGTATTAAGCATTAACTGGTCGTGTTTGGTGCTGGGGCGTTCACTATCTTGTAGCAAAATGCTATGTGCATCTGCACATAATTGAGAGTTCTGTGATGTGCTTTGCCACTGTAAATGGCACACAATCACTTTTGACAACGCAAGAGCCACTTTCCATGCTGTCGTTTTGCTTTTTCACTCCCAAATTACACGTTCCCAAGAATCTTTACATCTCAAAGAATCGTACTGTGCTGTGATGAGTTGGTAGAACAGATGATGACCTGGGTCAAGCCTGCACGTAACAAGGCAGTATGGTCATTTGTGAAAATATCTAGCATGAGAATAAAATACGGTATCAGGCTGGCGGAGCTTAAAGCATGCTGAATTGTGGTTTCGTATCCGTGTGGGGAGCAGAACTGTCAGAAAAACACATATTGATGTCTGGATATGCCATAGTTTTTCTAACCCTAACCATAGCCTCAGTTTGTTAACCCTAACCATAATTTGGGGCCTTAGGGTGAATCAACAGGTAGTTGGAAAGTAGGCAATATGCTACTAAAGAGTGCTAAATTTTGTTTTCTCATCCGTGTGGGGAGCAGAACTGTCATAAAAACACATATTGATGTCTGGATATGCCATAGTTTTTCTAACCATAACCATAGCCTCAGTTTGCTAACCCTAACCATAATTTGGGGCCTTAGGGTGAATCAA